TGACACTGTGGGGAGAAGAGGGATGGGAACAGGCATGGCAGAATATGCATAGGTATCAGCACTGCCCTAGATTTAAAACATTGCCCATTAAACACCCTGCAGGGTTCCCACATCAAAGTCTCTCCAGCAGGTGCATCAAGAACTGAATCTCTATTCTCAAGTACTTATCCATGTGCTTTCTCTACTGTAGATTGATAACTTATTAAAGCAGTCATTTGTAGCCGTTTAAAAATCACATTCTACCTTCTAATTACTGAAAAATTATACACTCATGTGAAAGTAGTCTAATTTTACTGAATATTTTTTTCAAGTAGTACAAAAGTAGTTAGCATACTGAGTTTTCTTAGTTCTCCTGAAAGAAACTTAGTTCACGGGAAAGTATGTGGGGTTTCCTATATGTAAATCCTCCTATTCCAGCTTATAGCCAGTTTATAGTCTAAAGTCCCAGACTTGATTTCAGATATTTGCATTTTAAAATTCCTCTAGTTGTTGTGTTTAAAAATGAGGTTTATACCGCAGCACGTTCAACAGCTATTCATCAACTTTTGTAACTAGAAAACTAATGTTGATTTATATAAAGGAAACTAGTGATAGACATTTAACCACATATAAAACATCAGGGATTATGTTCATTGTTAAAGTAAAGGAAGTTGTAAACTAAGCAATAGTATTTTAATAATGCAGCAATAATTAGGTAATTGGTTAGCTAATTCACTATCAATTGTAATTTATTTGAAATGTCATGTAATTTTTTCCTAATACTGTGATTATTTCTTTAAAAAAAGGCTTCATTTTGACCATCTATATCACAGCAAACATAAACTCACTGGGGAGTGATAAATCTCACTATTCTTTTAGGTGGTTTTTCATTTTTAGTGAAAAGGCATTTAATTTATATCAACTGCTATTTTCCCTGATAATCACCCACCTTTTCTTTTTTATATCAATTATATTATTAGAGGTAAATCCTCCTTCCAAATTGATATTAATCTTGGAATTTATCAAAAAACTTCTACTTTGCCTTAAGGTTAATTGAGAAAGTGGATGTTTACACTTATTTCCTAATGTTAAAGCAAGGCTATGATTGCAGCAATAAACATAGCATCTCACAGTGCATTCATTTCTCATGAATTTATTTTTAGTGTAGATAGAGTTTCCAAGTTAGTATGATCATTAATAAAAACTTATGAAATGAGGTATGTTTTTTGGTGATCATTTTTTACTGTTGAAAAATGTTTTCCAATTTATGGCACGGAATATTATTTATGTTTTCGTATTTGGGTTGCCAGGAATTCTCCCAATCAGACATAATCATAAACAGTCACCTTGATTTCACAATTATCTCATTTGTTCTGAGCAGGGAAAGAGGCAGGAGTTAAAAATCCTTCACACATTACTGTAGCCTAAAATTGGTAGATTCCCTAATGTGATTTGGAAGGAATTAATCTTAGTTCCCACCTTCTGGAAAAGTATTAGATTGTTCTGACAAATGTTAATTTGTCTAAAATTCAGATCCTAAGGAATTTATCTTATATCTTTCCCCAAACAAAAAATGATATTTGCATTAAACACACCTCACACACAATGCATAATATAATAAAATTTCTTATATTTGTAGAATCTTTTATTTATGTTACTCATATTTTATACATATTTACAATACTTTACCTTATATTTCATATAATTTTAGTCATTAAGGAATGCCATAACAACATTCCAAAATTTTGTTCATTACCTGAATTCTTCTTGATGATATTCTTAGGAAATAAAAGGAATTAACATTTACCAGCATTTGCCTTCTGCTGATCCTGGTATGTGTATTTGATCATTTGCTGAGACGTAATATGTCTCAAGGTGATCACGATCACAGTCTTGAGTTTGTATCTTCCTCACAATTGTACTTAATAGGTATGTGACTCTAATTATCTTGGTTGGTTTATGTATTATTTTTCTCCCTGGTGAAATGAGTGAAATCCTAGAATCTGTCTCTTAGAGCTGTGAAAATTAAATAAGTTAGTGTAAATGAAGCACTCAAAACACTGGTTGGCATGGGGTAGAAGCACATTTAATATTCAACATTGGAATTATCCTCAGTATATCTTATAACCTGATGCCCTTGTCCTCATTTTATCATTGAGAAAATTTATGCTTAGAGATTTGAGGCAATTTACATAGAAACAACAGAGGAACTCATACTTGAAAATAAATTTAGAACTTTTGGCATTGAGCCATGTAATATCTTTTTTCATTCTGAGTGCRGATTGATAGTTTTCCCTGTGTATATTTACCGGGAAAAGAAAAACATTTGTGACCATTCGAATACCTTAGACTAGACACAATAGGTAATTTAAATCTGATAATTAGTTGCAGAAGGAATATACTGCAACACTTAATCTAGTCCCTCAGTTCCTATACTTTGTGTGCATGTATCTGGAGAGAAGGTAAGTATGGAGAACTCTTTGTTTTAAAATTTATGCATGAAGCATAAAAATGTTGATTTTTTTAAATAAGAGAAGCACAGAGAAAAGCTTAAAACCATGACATTAGAAACATCCTGTAGCCATGCAGAAGATCAAAGTTTGTAAAGGAAAAATGAAATACACTACACAGTTGTTCAGATCAGATATACTAGTGGGCCAATAGCGGGTTTTTAACAATCCAAGTGAAAAGCATGGCTTTGACTGTTAAGAGTGCCTTTAAACTCTGCTGCCTCTACTATAATATTCACTCTTGAATGTACACATGAAATCATTTTAGATTTGATTCCTGAAAATACACTGTCCATTCCACTTATTTTTGCAATAAACTGAGGTTCTACAATTGACACATCTGGCTGTAGCTTCTATGCTATTTGCTATAGACCCTACTGATAAATAACAGGAACAGTTGAAAGAAAACAAAAATCAAAAACCCTGAGTTAGGTAGACTTTAGTGTGTTTGTTTTATGTTCACTTAATGACTGCATAACTTTAGATGAATTATTGCTCTAAGATAGCTATACTTTATTTAAAATTTTATTTGTACTTTTAAAAATTTAGCTAACAGTTATTGTTTCATATCCAAGATAATTCTCTGGAACAAGCTGGCAATTACCAATACCCCTATTTGATCATCAAGGAACCTGGGTTTCCAAAAAAAATGCTTGGTCAAACAGAATAGAGAATGGGCTTGGAATAACTAATAAATATAGCTAGTAGTTACTTAACACATAGTTCCAAATATTTTATGTATTCATTAGTTTATCTTTACATGAAGTCAAGTCTATTATATCCATTTTACAGATGAGGTGATTGAGGCATCATAACGTTAAGGATGTTGTCAAGGTCATAGATAATAAATGTTGGAGATGGAAATTGAAGCGTAGACAATCTAATTCTATTTCCCACACAGGTAACCACTTGACCAAACTGTCTTCCTAAAGGCAATAAAAATATTAAAAACCTGTGGTTCCTGCCTTCGGGCTATTTAGTTTCTTACAAAAGTAGTGCAAGTTTAAATAGGCTTATCAGAGTAATGAATTCTGATTTCTCTGGAAGGAAATGAATACTGTATTTGGGATGTATATTATTTCAGTGCTCCTGAATTTGTCCAGTTTTTTCATTCTTGCTTTTTAGGGCCTGGAGGCAGAAAATTGTCTTAGCTTATAGCATTTGAGACTGAGGCCATTAGGTGTGTGATGTTGCAATAAAAACATCTGCTCTTTCTGCTCCAAAACTAACCCGGCGGTAGAAATATAACAGGGATAGGAATTTAAATGTCCATAGGACCAACACCATATTTTAAAGCCATAGACTCCAGACTTCTCTCTACCTTCTAATCTGCAAACTCCCTTGGAGTTAACTCTTTTCTCTCCAGATCCAGCAATGCCTACTGGGCATGCCCAGTTTTACAGTGAAAGCCTCGCACTGAGTTTCACTTTCTCCAGGTTTTACCGACCGCAAAAGAAAGGAGACAGAGGGAAGAGTTAAACAGGTAGAGAACTTGGTTCAGCTCAGGATGTCCACGACCAAGGCAGAGCACGGAAAGCTGGAGGATCACAGGAGGTTGCAGCGAAAAGCACCTTGTCAGACACCGGAGTCTGGTCTCCAAGTTGGCGCGTAAGCCTGGTGGGTCTCTCTTACATATTTTCTGGCACCGCTTAGGCAGGTGGTGAAGATGATCTAGTGTGATCATTAAGGCCAAGGCCACAGTAAGGGGTGGGGCAGGAACACTGGATCTTGGAGAACAGAACGCTAGTGCCTTTGAGAGTCCCGTCTGTCCCTGAATTCCTCGAAGAGCTGCTAGGTTTTCAAGGGTTCCAAGCACGAGATCAAGGTGCACAATTAAAGCCAGGGTTCATCCACTCCTTGGCACCTTCTCTTTGGCTGCCAAGCCCTGTCCTGGCACCCTCTCAGGTACCCCCGCCCAATCACGACGGAACCCCTGAGAAGTGGAATCTCCACAAGCTTTCCGTGGGTCTAACAGGGGCCTGGGCATGCTCAGTAAGCTACGTGGTTCTCTTGGTCTCTCTCTCTCTCTCTCTCTCTCTCTCTCTCTCTCTCTCTCTCTCTCTCTCTCTCTGTGTGTGTGTGTGTCTCTGTCTCGGGTGGGGGAGGGAGGGTGGTGACAAGTTAGAAGCGCTTGCGGCAGGTCCCCGCCCCCAGGACCGGGCTCCCCCTGCAAAGGAAGGTGCCAAGGTAGAAGCACCTCGCTCCGCAGCATCCAGACCTGGAGGGGCTGCTTCCGCCTGCCTAGCCCACCTAGTCCCCAGCCAGAAGACGGGCTCGCCGCTCTCCATGGTACTGCGGAGATCTCAGCTCCGCCCTTCTCTTTCAGAAGGACAGCACCCGGCGTCACGTAACCCAGCCTTCTCGGGCTCCACCACCGCCTCTTCCTTCCCAGCTTTTTCCCTCTCCTCCTCCTCCTCCTCTTTTTCCTCCTCCTCCTCCTCCTCCTCCTCCTCCTCCCCCTCCCCCTCCTCCTCCTCCTCCTGCTCCCCTCCGTTGCATGTTCTCCCCTCCCGCACTCCTGGAGATAGACGCTCAAGCCTGACGCCTCTGAAAAGGCAGCAGCAGTCGCCTTATCCGTAGACCTCAGGAAATTCTCTTTGACCGATGCATGCTTCAGGCTCTGGCTCGAGCTAAGGGGAATAACCGGGCAGGTAAAGAAGCTCATTTGGGTTGGGGGGAGGGGATGGGGCGAGGCAAGCTGGAGAAGGATATCTTTCTCTGTTGTAACTGAGCCAGGATTTGCCACAAATACACAGGGAAGGATGGGTGGTGGGAGGGTGGAGGAGTGTAGATCTTGGTTGTTTGCATGAAGCCTTTTAAATGGTAAGAAGAAGATGAGATGGTGGGACTTGGGTAGTAACTTAAAGGCTAAATGCAGAGATTTATTACCAAAAGAAAGAAAAGAACAGGTCGGCTAGAAATCAAAGCACTAAAATAAATCTACATCTATATCTATCCTTTCCTTCCTCAACCATCCACACTATGCCTCTTCTTAATTTGTGCAGTAGACTTCAGGCTCCAAGAAACTGCACTGGTGTTACAGATGGGGCTTAGAGACTGGGCGGGAAAGCCAGGGAGAATTTTGGGCATACGTTGGTTATTGAGGTACTTTTCAAAAGCCAGAGGCAAAAAGACAGGTACTTCTCAAAGATTTCAGGTTCTTTATGAGGATATATATTGAACGGTGCATGGAAATGTGTGTGTGTGTGTGTGTGTGTGTGTGTGTGTGTGTGAGAGAGAGAGAGAGAGAGAGAGAGAGAGAGAGAGAGAGAGAGAAATTATAAACATTAAAATAAATGCAACTGCAGCTGATGAGCATACTGTATTGATTCTTCCAGTGAGTTGGAAATGAATTTGATTCTAGAAACGAAAGAAAAGATTAATGAGGCTGTTAGTCAGCTTTTGAATTAGAGCGCTTCTTGTTTTGGCTGCAGTAAGATTGTTTTTCAGTTCCTTTTATTTCAATCCTCTAATTTGTGAACTCATCAGGTCTTTCAGGCACCTAGAGAGAATCCTCTTTCTCCATATAAATACAGATGCTCTCTCACACACAATGAGCTTCCTCTAAGAACCGGGAGAGCCAGTTGACCTCCCTTGTGGTAGGAATATACATCTATTCCTCTAGCACAACCCCCCTTCTCCTCCACTCCTTAAAAAAAATTGTCAAGGTTTGTATTAGTGGAGGAGAGCAGGAGAGGAGAAAGGTTATGTGTTTTACACCAAATCAATTAATAAAATAATCAGCTCCAACAGATTCTCTTTCTCTCTTACACACACACACACACACACACACACACACACACACTACAGACACACAAACACACATATACACACAAACGGCTTTCTAATACAAGTTTGAGGATGGATTCAAAGTACTACTTTTGACTCTGACGTTCTAGGTTTATTTTGCAAATTACTGAAAATTTAGCAAATTCTTGACTCCGTTTTAAAAAAATGAAAGTATGTTGAATAATATTCTGTTATTCATGATTTTTTAAGAGCACCTTTCTTTGGGCTTGGCACAGGAGTAGAAAAGATGTGACTGGTAATTGCTGATGATGTGGAATGTATCAGCCATAATAAATCAACTACTGAGATTTTTACTTCTTTTTGCTCATGAGCAGTGTGTGTGTGTGCATGTGTGTCTGTTGAAAGAGAGAGAATCAGTCATCTATTTCATCTGGGGAGGAACTTGAAGTGGGATCCCCTAGCTTGGTGGCTCTCAGCTGACACCTGTAGGGACTGTTCTGAACTGAAGAGAAATGTTCTTAGCTCCCTCCATGGAGGAGCAGCAGCACAATGCGGGTGCCATAAATTACTGCTAGTTTCAGCTTGTAGGGAAAAAAAAAAAAGTGTTAATTGGATAGTGAGCTTCTGTGTCCAAGCAATAAATTTGGTGTGTGTGTGTGTGTGTGTGTGTGTGTGTGTGTATGTGTATGTGTGTATATGTGTTCCAGTGGGGATGGGGGAAAGTGGAGAAATAGTGAGAAGTGGTGAAGAAAAAAATATGTTTTTTGTATGACCAGATGATATATTTGTGTTATTTTCAAAATGTAGGAATAATTTATTTTGCACCAAAAAAAAGACAGAAAAAAATTAGTATGTGTGCTTTATGTACCATTTCAAGAAGCTGTTAGATTAGAGTTGAATAAAGAGAAGAGATTTAATAGCATATTGAGTGATTCAAAGGTATGGTCTTAAATTCTAACATCCTGGAGCCATAGTAACTGAGGTGACATACATGCCAACTGCTGTTCTGACCACACCAATCCTAGGGCTGACAGCCAGATAACGACTTGAGGAGGAGTTAGATCACTACACTGTTAGGCAAAATATTAAATAACCATCTTTAGAGTAAAAATAATATAACATTTGACTCATAAATATTGCTAACAGTATATATCTGGCTCCAATTAGATATTTTCTCCTAAAACAGATAATTTCTTTAATAAAAAGAAAGAATATGTTTGTTTGAAATCTTAAAAGAGACTTCCAAGAAATCATCAATATTCCTACTCTGAGAGAAATAAAATGGTAAGAATGCTATACAAATCTAAGTTGGCAGCTTCCTGCCAACAATTTGATCTACTTTGTCTATAGTAAAATTTGCTGTTTAATGCAATCTGAATAGGTTGTTCTAATTGTCCAGGTAACTAGCACAGAGTAAAAGAAGAAATCCTTTAAAAGGCATTTTTTCACTTCTAATACATTTTAAGAATTACATTTTCTTTAAAAATAAAAAGATAACCATAATCACCTCTTTTTAAAACATGAGTTAGCTAATAAAAGTTATAATAAACCACAAGGATATAATTGTTGTAAGACTGTGATATTAGCTATTGGGAAACACCAGGCCTTACTTGTAGGTCAGGACAAAAACAAACAAACAAACAAAAAAAAAAAAAAAAAAAAAAAACCTCTATCCAATAAGGTTAATTATCTGGCTTATATACTTGCTTTCTGAGTTGAATGATTATTTGCATGATACTGTAATTGACCTTAGATCTTAATTTTAATTTTCTACAGATTTCTGGGTCCTTATAAAAGGACCATATAAAACCAAAATGCATCGCCATCACACAACCAATTGATATGCTGGCATCTTAGCTTGGCCTTGCTGAGGAGGAGGAAAAAGAAGAGGAGCTGTTGTAATTTCCACATCTAACAGCTTCTGGCTGTTTCACAACTTGTGGGTTTGAGGCCTGTTCTTGGGGAGGTTTAAAAGAGAAGTGCAATCCAGCCTGGCAGGCCATGCACAAGGAATTTGGCTTAGGCTGCAGTGGTGCTGAAGTCCTTGATATGACAGAAGAAGCAGGTCTTTGAAGCTACTTTGGGGTTAATAAGTGGTGCCCTCAAGAGGCAAAGAATCCCCCTCTCTGGTTTGGGACACTGCATCTGGAAGGGAAACACTGAGGCAGTCACAAGCATCCAAGGATATTGGTTCATTGCCTGCTTCTTGCGATTCCTTGAGAAAGGTGGGTGCTTCTCATTGACTGTAACTGCTTCCCTTTTGTCTGGTACCACACTGGAGGTACCTGACATTTGGAGGAGTGAAGTATCTGTCAACACCATAGATGCCCTTAAACTAGATCACCTGCTGCAAATGGATCAGTGATTTTCCTTGATCTTCTGTTGACGCTTTTTTCAGAACGTTGCCTCCAAAGTGTATCCTCCCTTTGGTCTGGAAGTTCTGTTGCTGCCCTGTACCACTGGGGTCTACGTTTTCCAGTCGGAAGGGGACTATAAGGAGAAAGGTAAGGGTTGTTGGAAGAGGAGAAGAAGAAAAAAAAGAGCTAGTGGAGGGCGCAACGCTCCCACTCGGGCCTATACCYTTGTCCTACTTGCCCTTGGGACCCTTATTTCTTCATCACGGTGTCCAGGACCATTTTGACCCTGTCGGCCCCGGCACCCCCCCGCCGCACCCCAGCCCCGAGCATGGGGACGGCGCTTCTCCAGCGCGGGGGTTGCTTTCTGCTATGCCTCTCGCTGCTGCTCCTGGGCTGCTGGGCAGAGCTGGGCAGCGGGCTGGAGTTCCCGGGGGCTGAGGGCCAGTGGACGCGCTTCCCCAAGTGGAATGCCTGCTGCGAGAGCGAGATGAGCTTCCAGCTCAAGACGCGCAGCGCCCGTGGCCTGGTCCTCTACTTCGACGACGAGGGCTTCTGCGACTTTCTGGAGCTGATCCTCACCCGTGGTGGCCGCCTGCARCTCAGCTTCTCCATTTTCTGTGCCGAGCCCGCCACGCTACTGGCCGACACTCCGGTCAACGAYGGCGCCTGGCACCACGTGCGCATCCGTCGCCAATTCCGAAACACCACGCTCTTCATCGACCAGGTGGAGGCCAAGTGGGTGGAAGTGAAGTCCAAGCGCAGGGACATGACGGTGTTCAGTGGCCTCTTCGTGGGTGGACTGCCCCCGGAACTGCGGGCCGCGGCACTCAARCTCACATTGGCCTCCGTGAGGGAGCGCGAGCCCTTCAAAGGGTGGATTCGCGACGTGAGGGTCAATTCCTCCCAGGCCCTGCCCGTGGACAGCGGGGAGGTGAAGCTGGACGATGAACCGCCCAACAGCGGCGGTGGGAGCCCGTGCGARGCTGGCGAGGAGGGCGAGGGCGGGGTGTGCCTCAATGGAGGCGTGTGCTCGGTGGTGGACGACCAGGCGGTGTGCGACTGCTCGAGGACCGGCTTCCGTGGCAAGGACTGCAGCCAAGGTAAGGCCCAATGGCGACCCCCAGAAGCTGTGCTCATGTCAGGGCGCGGGGAGGTAGGGTGAGGYAGGTGGGACCGGGCTGGTGCATGGGGCCTTCCTTCTCTAAACCACAAGTGACAGTTCGCTTTGAGGCGAAGGCCTGATTCTGGAGGCCACTCTGCCTTACCAAGTCCACAGCACTTTCCTTCACACCCTCTTAGTGGTTGAGCAGTCTCCTTCTGCCAGGTTCAGTTGCCCTCTGGGAGTCCTTTGGATCAACCCTACTTCCATCCAAGAAGCAGGTAGAATGAGCTCTGTTTTCATTCCTGGGTTGCTTTGGCTAGCTGGTCTCTTTACTCATAGGACCATTGCCTACCTGAATGACCAACCAGTGTTTGTCCCCTCTACAACCACTAAATCTATAATACACAAACTTTGCCCGTAAGATGCAGACATGCATCCAAAAGACTGAGAAATGGTGAAAACAAAGTGCAGGAAAGGTTCCCCAGGGCCATGGTTGAGAATGCCCACGTGGATATTGTKGTAAAGCACAAGAGAGACCGTTCACAGGGCAGTGCCCCCTCCCACCCCCCTGCCTTTTCAGATAGAGCGTAAAGATCAGCTCTTGGTTGTGGAAAAAGAGGAGGGGATGTGAAGATCTGCTTCACTAGCAGGAGGAGGGTTTTTGGCAATAATATTGGTTTCCATGGTTATCTCCAAGTCCAACATTTGTCATATTTAAGTCAAATTTTGTGATTTTCGTGGTTTCCTGAAGTGTGAGACAGGTCAGCWAWTGTTTAGAAATGTTAGAGATTAAATAACATATTTCTTGATTAACAAATGCCTTAGGAAGAGAATAGAGAAATTTAGATGTAGCTGGATTGGGAAGCTTCTGCAGGCTAATAAACAGAGGATGCATGTGAGCAATTGCAAGAGATTTTCTAAGGATATTCAGMTAATGACATTTATCTGAGTATCGGAAGCCAAGTTGTAATTTCTGTGGTTCTTGGGGCTTGATACAGTATGGAATTAAACAACAAAATCATACCTAAGGTTTTTTTTTCTTCTTTTTCCACCCCTTTACAAATAAAATTTAGTTTTCTGGCTGTTTCTTCCATGTTGTTACATGACAATGACCAAGGAAAATATTCAAGATACAGACAGTGAAACCTATGAACAGAGTGAGTGAGTGATGTGAAAGGATAAAACATGGATGTATCAGTGGCTAAGCCAGAGAGAGGATGTCGGGATTTAAAGYAGATGGCTAGCTTATGGGTCAAATCAAGGCAATCAACACATGGATAAATGGCATTTGTGGCTGAAATGGGGGGAAAGGTGAATTATTAAATCTGATTTTGAAAGCTATAGGGACAAAAGCTTTATGTGTGCTTGTTTTATTGTGTAATGTCTTTGTTTTTCTTTTTCTTTTTTCTTTTTTTGCTGACTTTGCTAAGAGGAACTAGCCTTTGTAAATCTTATTGAACTTGGCAGTTCTCTCACTTGACTTTAAGGGAAATGAAGACTTGATAAAATTTGCAATTGTTTAAACAGCAAAGGGAGTTAGTTAGATATAAAAACAGCTTGTCTTTAGGAGTATTCTGTAGTCCGGAGGAGATGGGTGAGGGTCAGTAAAGGGTTATTTTATTGTGCTCTGTCTTCATGTAGGTTTTTGTTTTAGGTATATTTTGGCGTAAGTAATTATASATGACTGTGTATTCAATGGCCCATACTGCACTTTAGCTTTGCCAGTAAATTTCCATGGATTTAAGATCAGACTTTAGAGTTATGTTTTACAAAAATAAAACAGAACATTTTTTCTTCCGCCAAATCTAACTTAATTATAAATCATGACTAAGATAGCTTTGTTATGATGATTTTAGTAGTATTATTTGAAGTTTGCACACCTTTGCACTGATTAATAAAAACAAAAATGAATATTATTTTGTGGAAAAATATTGCTSTAAGTATCCTAATGCCACTTTAAATGATAAAGAAGGCCATTTAATGAAATATAACTTCCTTTCTTAAATTAGGAAACAAATATGACACAATGACAGCTTGTATTGTGTGGGAGGGTGTTTTAAATGAAWTTTTTTAATTTTTCTATGCATTTTAATGTAGGGATCCAGGGATCATGCATAATCAGGAACAGTTAAGAGTAGGAAAAGCATGGAAAAAAAAGTAATGTTAAAGAGAAACAGAATTAGATGTATTTGAAATGCATTTTATTTTGGAAAATGATAGTTCTTTCTATAAGATGAATAATTTGGAATTACCCACATGCACACTGGAACAATATAGTACCTGATACATAAGCAACCCAGGAGAGCAAATCCATTAGGATTGTTCTGGAGCATTGATTCATTTGAAAATTTGATCTGAAAACAGAGTACAAAGATCACCACTAGTCTTAGAAGGAAAACAAAAGACTGGATTTGCTTGATTTTCACAGAAATGGAAGATGGAGTGATTAAGGCATAGTCTGTCTTCCCAGAAGGATTGACTCCATTTTGCTCATTTTCCCTGTTTCATGTGTGTCAAGTGACTATTGAATAATTAATTGACAGTGGATGCCTCTCCTAACACCAATCATGTATTGATGGCTAGGGATAGATTATTTCTATTCAATTGAAGTATAAACAACACCCTGCCTCTAGCCAGTGTTTACACTGATGTTGCCACATTTTTTAAAAACTAACTTATAAAAACAAATATGCATTCATTAAAGAGAATTTAGAAAAAAAAGACCATCAAATATTAAAAACAAAATTTGCATTACCTCTGTCTCAAGTACAATTCCTTTTTAAACTTAGTAACAATGTGTATTATTATTTTAGCTGCTTTCTAATTTCAAATACAATAAGAACTGCTAAAAAGACAATAAGAATRGGATAAGGATGCTCTGTGTTTCTTCTCACCTTGACTTACAGAGCCTTGAAACAACTTGTGCACCCATGGGTTTCCAGATTGTTTTTATTGAATGAGTTCAGTTTCATTCTTGCTCTGTTTATTTGGGTCTAGCAAATTTTACTTATTTATCTATATATGCACTGATGGAGAGAAAACATGGGCATATGTGTCATAACCAGGTCTGTGTCAGAGTCTGGATGAGAGCATAAACAYTCTTATTCTCAAGCCGACATCATCATATCTGCTGAATAAGATTTCCAGTTCCTTTGACATCTTTTTCAGGCTCAGGTGTTATTCAAGAGAAAAACAATACATATAAAAATGGTTGTAGGAACAGAACCAATTTATATATCACTTATGTTCTTTGACCCTCAGAATCAGCCTCAGAACTCAACTGTCCAAAAATGTCATCTTTCCTGAGTGATGGATGCTTATGGGATACAGAGCTTTTTCAGTGAATCATACTCATCTAAGTGCTCCTACACCATGATTATTTAATAAGTTTCTACTTAAGAGTACTAATCGTTTCCTAGTAGTTTGAAAGAATTAGTGAATTCCATGGCCATTCCTCTTAAAAATAAGAAAAAAAGGATGACTAATAAGAAATTAAGCTATGTTTCTTATGATCTCTAGCTACAAGTCCCATGTGCTTTAGGGTCACAGATATTTAAATTTCATACTAGATTGTGAGTATCACTTTCTCTATTTAAATGGTCATAAGCACACATGATTGCTTAATATTACGTGGCAGTGTGCTAAATGTCATTTAATAAAGTACTTTTTATATGATTGTGACCAGATCCATCAACCATAGTCACTCATGCATTCATTTATTCATTTCTTTATTCAACACATATTGATTGAGTGTTTTGTATGAGCCAGAGTACTAGGTTCGGGTAATAGTGAGTAAATTAAGAAATAGTTCCTAACTTTATAGACTTAAGATTCCAGTGAGGAGGAACTTTTTTTTTTTTTTTTTAAAGAGAGAGAGAGAGAGAGAGAGAGAAAGAGAGAGATTTATATTTATTTTTTAGTTTTCGGTGGACACAACATCTTTATTTTATTTTTATGTGGTGCTGAGGATTGAACCCAGCGCCCCACGCATGCATTTTGAAGAATTGCTGCACGGTAGTAAGAGAATTTAAAATAGTGCGCAGTGACCTAATGCAAAAAGGTTTTTTTGAGGTGTGATTATTCAGATTAAATCTGAAGTATGAGAAGTATTTGACCAGGTAAAGGTGAAGGAATGTTAACTAGGTCAAGTCAGAGATATAGGAGATAATACATCATGTTCATGCCACTGGGAGAAGGCCCCTGAGTATGAAGAGCTGATTCCATGCTCAAGAGAGGAGTGGGAGCAGGCCACGCAGGGTCTTTTGGACCATGTCAAGGATTTTTTCTTTATCATACAAATGATGGAAAAGGAATGCAGAGAGTAATGTGAAATCTGGGGATGAGGGTGGCATTATCAAATTCATGTTTTAGTAATGGCACTCTGGCTACAGTGTAGAAAACAGATTGAAAGGGAGCCAGAGAAAAAGAGAAAACATTATTTTCTATTTGTCAGTCAACAACATTTGTTAAGCTCCCACCCACTGTCAACTGTAGATGGAATTAGAGGGGAAAGTAGAGGGAAAACAGAATAGTTTTTTAAAAAAGAATCTTAAAAGGGAATACTTGTAATCAGGATTCTTGTTTTAAGGAATTTAGAATCTTCATTAGCTAGACTAGGTAAAGATATCTAAGGTCATTCATTGTTTGGGACATTTGTTTGTACCTGTTAAAAGCATTAGCTGAACTCTTTATGTGGAATGCCACGTGGCTTCTCTTGTGTGTACCTTTAGAGTCTGGAGGCTTCTAGAATCCAGTGGCAATACCATATTTTATTCTACTCCTTCATACAGTAAATTGCACTTAATCTATCATTCTTTTAATAACATGTTGTCTGTGTGATGTAGCATTTTAAACTACTACAATAATAAAAAAATAGATAGGTTTGCACAATCTTTGTAATTTTTGTGCTTATAATCTTTTATTTTTGTTTTAATTTTAGTAGTTATTGTATGAGTAGATACTGGGCAAAAATGTTTCCAAAATTTTCCCAGAGTTTTA